GGGGACCAAAATGACCCCCTTACCCCTGGCAGCTGTCGTGCTGCTGTCACCAGCGCGTCGTGCTGGCCAAGCGCAAGCAACGCGGGTGCGAGGGTATCGCCCTGTTCGACCCTTTCGGGCTGCGCCAGCTCGTGGCAGCGGCCGCTTTTCAAAACGATTGCACCCGCGTGTGGACCCCATCGTTGATGAAAACTTACCCCTCATCAGCGATCTCCTCGCGGACTCGTCTGAGGTCCCCCCTTTCGCCAGTCGCATGCCTTGATGGGCCCTGCCGGTGGATTTGTGGATTTCGGCCGCCTCCGTGTTGTTCACTCCACCCATGAGCTATCTGCACTGGGACCGCGGTAACTGTTTGCAAAAAGGTCCGTGAAAAAAAAGAGTCCGTGAAAAAAAAAGAAAGCCAAACTGGTTTTTGGTGGGGTGCGGAAAATCAAGTTTACGCGTCAGCCGAGACGCTACGCCTGCGTGCTCGTAAACGCACATTCTGCGGTTTTGTCGATGAGCGCTAGGCTTTCGATGTTGCCTGGAGGGACGCTGTCTTTGTCAACCTTGCTGCTGCTGGTGTTGCTGGCTCGACGTGGTGTGTCCTGGGTGACCTTCTTTCTTCTGCGTCTGCGCGGGTCCTCATCAATGGCAACCTGTCTGAACCGTGGACTGAATTTCAGTGCTGGTGTCCGCCAGGGCAGCGTGCTCGGACCGATTCTGTTCAGCATTTTGTTTGACGGTATCGCCACTGCTGTCCGGGCAGCATGCCCAGGTGTTGCAGTTGGTAATGACGCCTCTGCCCCAAGGGTTTCTGTGCTTCTGTATGCCGATGATTTGGTAGTCTTTGCTGACACCCAACACGATCTGCAGAGGGCTCTTGATGCAATCGGTGCCTGGGGTGCCCGTTGGCGGTTCTCGTTTGGGATTGGCCCTGACAAGACAGCAGTTCTCGTTGTTGGCTCCAGATCTTCGGATTTTGGAGTCACTCTTCAGGGTTTGGACGTACCCGTTGGTACCGAGTACTGTTACTGGGGTGCTGTCTTCCAGGCATCCAGGAAAGGGAGGAAGCATACCGATCGCCTTGCCGCAAAAAGCACGCGGGGGCGTCGTTTTCTTTCGTGGCCAGGTGGCGCCCCTGGTGCCGCGGTGTTGGGCGAACTTGGCTGGGGCCCCTTCCCCATCGAAGTGCAAAAGTTGCAGGCAAACTTGTTCGGGCGGCTTTCTTCCTCCGGTCCTCACGGTGTCCATCGCGGCCTCGCAGCCCGCGTGTTCCGTTATGCCTCGCGTGTGCCATATTCGTGGGCGCATGCAACTGCCAGCAGCCTAAACTCCGCTGGGATCAGTTTGCGTGTGGTCCCTGGTTGTGCTCCTCGCTTTGTCAAACGCTGGAAGGAACGCTGCGTTCGCCCAGCCTTAGCGACCACAAGCTTTCGCATGCGTCGGGCCGAATCAAGTCAGCTGCCATCTCTGGCCGCCTTCCTCCAGTGCCATCCTGGCCTCGATTTCTGTTCAAGCATGCGTTGCTCCAGGTTGCCTGCGTCCTTGGTCCGCGAATGGACGATGGACGTTGGCCAGGTGTGGTCAACATCCTTTCTTGGATGGTCGCGCAGCCCGTCATTGTGCCTTGCAACAGCCATGCTTCTGTGGTTCCGATGACTGGAGTGTATGTCATGCCTTGCCCAGATGCCCCATCTTTAGCTCATTGAGAAGCCAACGCCTGCACTCCTTAGGAATACGTGGGGTGGACCGCCTGGCAGATGACATGTTCTTGCGGCTCATTTTTTCCACCCGTGCCGTGCGAAAAGGCCGCTCCGCCATCACTGCACAGGTTTCTTTTGTTGTTGGCATTTGCCAAGCGCAAACGTCCTTGCCAAATGGCATTGAACCACATGGTGCCTTGTGTGCGCTCAATGATGCTTGAGAATTCTGAACATGATTCCGTTTGATCCTTGACCGTTTCACGTAGTTTCAACTTTTGACCGCCAAACGGTTGTTTCAACACTCGTGCTATCTCGTGCTGCAGCTGCAACGTCCTGCTTGCACTTCGCGATGATTCACAGCCTTGCAGGACACGGTTCGCAGCCTTGAGGCCGCAGGATTCCAAGCCCGCCCGTGGAATCAGTTTGCACGCACTTCCCTCCACAGGAGCACGCCGTCATGAGAACATGTGTCTTTCAGGGGTATGGTTGGGAGTTGTTGAGGTCGGCCGAACAGGTCGGAAACAACCAGGCTGCTATTTCGCCGTCGCCGCGCCAGAGCAATTGGTCAAGGCAAACTTTCCAGTATCACCTAGATACGCGTAAGCAAAGCTTTATGAACACGTTGGGGGCTGCATCCATTGCACGTTGCAGCATTAAACAAGAGATTCACTCGCACGTCCCCACATTGCAAACCGCAATGCACCCCATGACATGCACGCCTGGTGACGGCAACGAACGAATGTATTGAATTTCCAAAAAATCCACAAAAAAAAAACCACCAAGGAACATCAGGTTGCCCAATGCCATGTTCCATTTCCCATGTCTGCGAAAATTGTGATTCAAGGGCCAGGCATGGCGAGGTAGGGTCTCCGGGCGCTGTTTCTGCTAGATTTTGCGGGCAGCAATGGTGCGGGCCTACCTGCCGGAAGAGGACTTCAAAGCTATGTCCTACTGGCAACAATGGGATGAGGTGTTTCATCGATGTTTGGCAAATGATTTGGGCTAACGTCGAGGGGTTGTGGAAGGTCGCAGCAGTGGTGGTTGATAGTCACGGGATGATATGCTTCTCTCCGAATTCATGTTCTTTCTGTCGACATGAAAGAATCACATTCGGGTTCAGTAGAATTTGGGGTATCAAGCTTCATTCGGGGCTCGTCCGGGATCTTAGAAGAGTAACAACCATGGCACAACCATACAGCCAAGCCCCCCCAGATTCCCTTACACCCCAGGGACCTGTTCAGCACGAATAACTTCAGCATTTTTTTTGAAAACTGTTTTTGCATGACGCCGGCCAAGCCCCAAAATCTGGACACATCGCTTTAACCTCCTGCACACGCACCCCCCCCCCCACCCTAAAGCCAAACGGTTTTTGTCCGCTATCCCCTACCAGGTCGTGAAGATGATCTTCGAGGTCGGCGGCTTGCCTGCTTTACCGGCCACCATGATGCACCTAGCCCCTTGGAGAATTGCTGGCCTAACTCCGTAGGTTTTTCAAGTTTGGAGCTTTGATGGTTCAGGTCGTCTTCAATAATGATCAGGAACAAGGTTCAACTTAAACTTGAGGTCATGGCTGCTTGCACAGGTGGACTGGGATGAGCTAGGGTTTGGGGGCGCGGCTTGTTCAAGATGTTTTCCATACAGAGATTAAAAACTCAGGTACAATGTTCAGTAACAAAACTGCGTTATCGGCACTGTATGTATATATGTGCATACAAAGTCTTCAATGCCCAACTCCAGTTGATAAGAACCCCATATTACTCTAAGCCCTTACACAAACCCTTGGTAGCCGATCTGTGCCAGGCTTTCAAGGTCAGGAGCTCAATTCCATGTCCTTCAATTCTTTGTGGTTCGTAGAGGTGTTTGGAATCAGGGCTGGATCTGAAACGGGCGAGCTCAACCAAAATCAGGTTTGGAACTTGCTCCAAATGTGCTTGTGGTATGCCACTGCTCGCGCATTCCCCTCGGCCGACGGGTTCTACTTCGGCTTCCTCCGGAATGCCCTCATGGGCCACTTCTTGTTCGAGTTCCTATCTTGGACAGGCAGGGTCTTGCTTTGCTGTAGGGTGCCTCGGTGCTTACGGTTTTATGTGAACTACGCTTGTTGATGAACATCCATCCCTCCCTCATGTCCTATACACCAAAACCAAAGCCAAAACCCTCTTGTTGCCAGGTACGTACTCAGGGCCGCTGATGGGGAACATCAACCCACCCTTCCCCTGGACCCGGATGCGCTTCATCCGCGGAACCATCAAGGAGCCCTTCTTCCAGTGCCTGGGCTACAAGCGAACCTGGCTGGACGTTTTCGTGTGCTCCGCGGTGGTGCCCATCATGATCTTTCTCCTGGTCACCCCGGATGCCGGAGTTTGGGAGGCTCTCTGGCCCGCCTGCGTTTCCTGGTGGAGCAGCGGTATCTCGTTTTGTTTTTCAGGAATTGCAACGAAGCAGGGACACATTCAAGACACCTACCTGACAGGAAGCCTTAAGCCTAAAGCTCAAGATTCTAAATCCTCGAGCGCTAGAAGCTGAAAGGCTCAAACTTGGACAAGAGAAGCGCGCGCCTTGAAACTAGGTTTGGACGCTCTTCATCCTGGACTACTCCTGCTACACAGGCTTTTTCGGTGCCTGGCATGGGCCTGTCTCCTTGGTCTTTGGATCAAGGGCTTTCTTCGGCCCCCAGGGGACGAATGCTGGGCTACAGCTAGTCCTGGCGAGGGCAGTCCAAAACTAACAGCGAGGGTAGCCATAGCTGGCTGAAACAGCAGCCTCAACTCATCCTCAAGCATTTGTTTTGCCATTCCGGAAGGTGATGACCTGGATCGGCAGTGGTGTCGCCAAGCACGGGGACTGGTTCGTGGTGAACTTTGCGGCCGAGTGGGTGCTGCCCTACATCTTTGCAGGAGCAAGTGTTTGAGATTGCACCCTTCACCTCTTCCGAGGGTTACTTAGGCACGGGCAAAGTTGTCTTTAACAAGCTTTTTTCTCAACAAGTTTTGGGGGTAGACCTTGGCCAGGAAGCCGCTTCTGGCAAAATCTCATCTACAAGGACATCCCAGGAGGGGACTGCACCCCGACGCGACTGGCAGCTGTCTTGGGCTATATGGCTGCGATACTGGAGTGGGCGGGTCCCTTATTCCTGCTCTTCGCTCCTTTCTGTGGATCCTATCAGGTTTCCCTGACCCTACTAGGGCTGGGACTCATGGTTCTGATGCACATCTACATCATCGTCCACCTGCCCTTCATTGACGTTTTTGCCATCAACTTGATCCCAATCCTCTGGTCCATCTATTGCTTCTGGTTGACCAGCGTAGGTTTCGATTATGCGGACTTGTGGCAAATGCCCTTGCCTTTGAAACTCTGCTTTGTGGGCTTTGCTCTCCAAACCGTCTATGGGCAGATTTACACTGACCAGGTGGCTTTGAACATGTTATTTTTTGTCGTGATTGCCCATTCAGGGCTTGTTTCGGATTTGGCATGGATCACCAGGTGTGCTACCAGAACTGTTACCGCTTCTGGTCCGGTAACTTCTCCTTTTCCTGGTTCCTGATGACCGACTCCGCCATAGAAAAGATGAAGACCCCTGGCTACTGCACTTGTCGGAAGACAGTGTGTAAGTTTTGAAGTGCACGTGACTGTACATGTCAATGTGTAATCTGTGTAGTATCCATGGAGTGATGACGGGCAATCCACCGCAGAAATTCTCCACGAAGGAGCCGCGTGATCTCCACAGCAGTCTTCCCGCCTTCCGAAGACTTGAAAGCCTCCGGCCTCATGGCGGAGTGGGAGTGCGACTTCTTCGCTTCTTGTCGCTGAGCAGGTAACCTGTAACTTTTCAGGGAAGTCAACCTTAAGCCCTCAAAGAAAACAGGCCCTAAATCCTAGTCAGCAACTAAGGCTTTTTTTGCTGTGGGACTGCTTTGGGCCATAATGCCCTCTCAGCGGCTCTTGCCGCTCATGGTGCACGAGGTCAGGTGCTCAAGAAAGGAAATACAAAAGCCATCCCAAAAAAGACAGGGCTCGGGTCCCGGGTTTAGGGAGACCTTTTTGGTGGGGGTCTTGGGCGCTTCCGCATCCCCCCCAAATGATACTACCATACGATTGTAGTTTCCAGGAGTACTTATAGAGCTTGTAGAGGCTTACGGCTTTGGCCCAAATACGTATCTTATTCATTCGAAAGCCTTTAAGATCTTTACATCTTTATATAGAACCCCAAAATAGCCCCCATATAACCCCAATATAGTCCCTATGCCCAGGTCACGAAGGGCAAGGCCCTCCACGAGCTGAAGCTGATGCCTGGCTTTGCGGTCGTGAACCATTGCATGGGCAGCGCCAGCAACGATGACACCCGCGTGACCCAGCTCCTTCCGCGACTCCAAGAGGTCGTTAACTTTGAGAGTGGAGAGTGCATCTGGGCTCATTATCTTGTAATTTCAGGATGCCCAGTTCCCAACCGCATAGCAAAGGGTTATTCTTTTGAAGGTTTGGGGTCAGGCTTGAGAAGGTTTGAAGAATCACCTCTGCCATCGAAGTCGCACGCACCCGCTGAGTGTCGCGCAGCAGTTGCTAAAAAAGGGAGCTCCACTTGAGGCTTGCCACGGCGGGTCCGTGGGAGGTAGGAACTGATACCAGACAAAGTGTGCGGGTTCGTTGAATGGGTCGCTTTTTGAGTGGCAGAAGGGCTCTCTTTTAGGGGCCCAAAGATGTACGAAGGTATTTGCTTGCGATGTAAATCTTGCTCCGGCTTCGGTGGCAAGATGGCCTACGAAGCGGTTGACCTCTTCAACGGACAGCTCTTCTCAGGAGCTGCAATACACAGCCAGTTTTCTGAGCGGTTAAGTGCTCTCTTGGGGTTTAGGGCAGGTTGGCGGCTTAGGTTTATTTGTGGTTTAGGGTTTTGCCTTGAACGGGTTTAGGGGTTCCCTTGTGGTTTAGATTATTCCCTCATGTCTTTGCTGTCCTTGCAAAGTCTTTCCTGAGAGCTTTAGCAGAGCCAGGAGTTTGGGAGGTCTCGGATGCCGTGAAGCTCCGCAAGCCTTCTGACACGATGGAGCCCTTTTTCTACCATCCTTGAACCCATCCCCACCATTTACACTGACAAGATTAGATTTGGTAAAGGGGCTTTCCTTAAAGGAATCTCGCGCAGGAGTTGCTCAGCAAGATCCCCCTGCGCGCCACCGGCTTCTGATTTCGAAGGATGAGTCGCAGATTGAAGGGAGGCCGACTTTGCAGTATGCCGTTGGAGAAACAAAGTGGACAGCAAAGTATCTATGAGATGAAGCAGGAAACGAAGTCAGTAGAAACCCGTTCAGTGTGTTTATGATAGACTGTAACAGTGGACAAGTTGGGATCTTGATGGGGATAACGTTTGAAACTAATTGCGATTTGAAGGGAGGGGACTGGCATCGCCGAAACGCGCAAAAGTGAATGCCTGCCTTTAGGCGGATAATTTTCAACAGGCCGCTGGCATAAGCCCTCAATCAAGCTACACAGCAAATTGCAAACCCTTTGCCATCATAGACCTGTGAGAATTGGGATGTATGATTTAGCCTTGCGCTTGCGGCGCTGACGTGACCCGAGTCGCTGTGAGAGAGAGCCTTGCGCTTGCGGCTGCCATGAGAGGAAGAAGGGTGGAAGGTGATACGTGGCGGCTAGAAGAGAGGAGTGGGTTGAGGGAAACCAGAGTGAGCGCAGCACTTTAGTTAGTATCTTCTGCCTGTTGAAGATAGCTCATGCTGGCCAAGCGTGTGTTGAGGGTTGCCCAGCAAGTCCGGCCTGCCTGTTGACAGGGTACGGCACCGCCTGCAGCACGATGTAGGGCCCTTACGAGACAAGACAAATCCAGCTACTGGGAGCGTCCTCACTCACAGCATGGTCAAGAAAGGCCTGTAATGCGGAACCTCCCCACGTTCCAAAAACCCCGATCAAGCGGACCATCCCAATAGTTCCTGCTACTGCGGTGGTTTTGCGCTTGCCTGAGAAAATTTGAGAATTATTCCAAATTTTCTGAGCCTGAACCCAACAGCATTGGCGCATAAATTGATTGCTAGTGCAACCGTGATGAATCTTCATCATTGGCAGCATCTTGAATGAGCCATGTGCAAGACTTGGGTGCTGGCAGTTCTGGCTACGTCAGCGTTCGCATACCCCCAGTTCTGGGCTTACCAGACAGTTCATTTCATGAGCGGTCTGAAGCCGGGCGGCCCATTCGAAGCAATGGGCATTGTGCTCGGTAAAGACCAGGCACACTTTTGTCGATTACAGGGTTGTTGTTAAGGAGCTTAAATTAAAAGTCCAGTACATAGAGTGATTAATATGGTTCCCCCAATATAGTCAGGTGAATTAAGTTCTTTGACAGCAACCGAGATTATGGGGTATCGCTGAGTTCGTCAGAAAACGGCAAGGTGTTACCTCCGCAATACTTTGTTGCTGAGGACAGATTCGAGCCGACGCCCTCGGAGACAAACTGCAGAATCACAACGAATGTCCCCACTGGTGGAGATCTGGGCCGCATTTGCTACTAGACTTCATCCACACGGGAACGTACGCATCGAACTTGGCACCAAAATGCGCAAAGTGCCTTCTGACTTTCACGCATGCACCAAGTGTATTAAAAGCGTATATTCAGGTGTTAGGGACAGCCTTGTGCCACGCTCTTATCACCCATCAGCACCAGATGAATTGCCATTGAGGAGCTGCAGGGGAAATCTGCCCCAAAACGATTCCAGTAACTTCTAAGTAGATTTTGAACCTGTCAGTGTGCACCCAAGAATAACAAGACATGGTTTTGCCTGGGAGTAGGCGAAGGGTCTGACTGGAGAGTGCCAATTGTAACGGACTGCATCGGATGAGCATGTCAGGATTCGAGGCGGACTTTCCTTATAATGTGTCTGTGGAGAGCAGCGAGCCCGTCGGAGTGGGGCATGTGCTGATCACCAGCGCGGGTGCCTTCCAACAAGATCTTCATAGGCCTTTAGCAGCCAGTACCATGTATTCTGAAAGACATACATCAAAGAGCTGGCTGTGGATGAGCCCTAATATCTCAAGCTTCAACACCTTTTTCTCAGTGTGTGCCACTGGGTATGGTGGCCGTGCGTATGTTGCAGATGCCGTGACTGTTTTTCGAACAGGGCAGACGCAACGCGTCTGCAGTCCTAGCAACACATCTGCTGCAAGGGCAGACTGTCATTGCCTGGTCTTGGGCGGGGCTTCAGACATTTGCAAAGCTGGGACATGTTGCTGGGAAGACTTGCAATGTCGGGAATGCTCAAACTTCACTCCCAGGAAGCCTTTCATGGGCCTGACAATGCTACACTCCTTATTGATGACAGTCGGAGTTGCCCTTCAGCTGCATGTGCTTGTGGAAGATGTGCCACAATATCAGCATCGCTACATGCTTGCGAGCTGTTTGTCACAACTTACCGGTGTTGGCTGCAGCCTGCCGAGCGCACTGGCAGGTGCTAGTGGAAGCTACCTCAGGTGGCATATCATTGTGGGTTCAGCTTGCTCAGGTTGCAGCGCATTGTTTTTGGCCTGGCGCTGCTTCAAACATGCTGGACCAAGGCTTTCTTCCAGGCTGCAAATTGGCAGTATTCTGACACTGGGCTTTGTTGCTGCAGGCTTGGGCTGTGTTGTTTGTGGGAGGGAGATACGGCTCTGGACCTGCGGTCTGGTCGGAGTCATCTTTGGTCTTGCAATTTTGCACGTGGTTGGGATGCAGAAGGGTGACAGCAGACTCCGCCATGAAGAGCCTGCAGACCGCATTGAAATCTCACAATCGGGTGTCCAGCAGGTGCCTGTGACGCCGTCAGAACAGGCCGCCAGGAACTCCTCCGCCATTCCTCTCTGCCCAGGAGACAACTGAGCTCAATCATCGGCATGTTTCAGTGTTTCAGCATCGCATGTCCAAAGAAGGCTGCAAAGAGCAAGCGTGCAGCATCCATTATTTCTGCAGAGAGGATTCAAGCGTTGAGATGCTCTGTAAGGGCAGTGAGCTACACAGTGTTTTCCTGCAGTACCTTGTGATCGATCAAGTTGGATAGGTCTGTCATGACGCAGCCGAGAGCATGAAGCTGCCACGAAAGATGTTGAGATCAGCACAAATCACCTTCAACACGATGCCAGCCCGAGTTGTGCTTAAGGGAGAGTGGGGAGTGAACATAAGACATAAGGATTATAATAAGGGGTATATATGGGATTTATTTATATAAACATTATAAAGGATTCAAGTATAATGATCCACTCCTGCGCTCTCCCTTAAGCACCAGTAAGCAGCATAGGATCTCGCGTTTCATGCCTGCCTTGACAAAGAGCGTAAGCAATGAATCTGCGCCCGAGGCAGGGCTTGAATCAAATCAGCCAATAATTGATGCTATTCTTATGATTAGTCTTACGACGACTTCCACTACTACTGCTACTAGTACTATTACTACTTGTAGCACTACTACTATTGCCATTATTCGTACTATTCATTCATATTATGATTATTATGACTATTGCGAGTATGATTGCTACTAGTCTTGCTAATGCTCCAAACAGGATTTGCCATGCTCGGTTCTCCCGGCCATCCTGGTGGGGGCTTTCTGCGCAGTCAGCCTGTCGGCGGTGGCGCGAGCTCCCGCACCCGAGTTTCTGAACTTTGGCTAGAAGTGGGGGGTGGTAATATTGGGAGAATATAGGCAATAATGGAAAATAAATCAGAAACGACTATACTGGGGAACTAGAAGTTATAGCCTCCCTCAAGTAGATAGAATATGGGTTATATTTGTGATATTGGTCAATTCCATATTCTATCTACTACAGGGGGATTCTAAGGTGAGAGTTGTCTACAAGTACGGTGGGGGGGATAATATTTGGAATAATGGAAAATCAAATGGAAACTATTATAATGGGTTCTATAGGGGTATATAGGTTAAGGTGAGAGTAGAGCTTCATACTTGCAGCCCGGCAAGTAACTGACCTCGCGTCCGTGGTGTGATTTCTACTTTCGCTGGTTCTGCAACGTATGACTACAACGTTCGTAGCTGAGGTCTGGCATGGATGATGAGGTGCGCTTGGCAGGTATATAACCCCAAAGAAACCCGTATACCCCTATACAACCCATCATAGTATTTTCAATTTCATTTTCGATTATTCCCTATATTATCCCAATATTACCATGGCTTTTGTATCAGGAGTTTCAAGCTTTTGCAGGTGATGGTGGCGCGCGTTAAGGAGGTTGAGGCACAAGCTAGACGGACAACACTCCGCACTCTTGCAACTTCTGAACCTCCAAAGACCCAAGATGCTGTTTGATGATGCCTTCTCGACAGAACGCGCCTCTCCTGGCTGCGGTTTGGGCGGCCCTTTGTCCAGCAGACGCTGCCGTCAGCCGTGTCCCTAGCATGAAGCGCCCAGATTTGCCCCGATCGTAAAGCTAGAAAAACCGCCAAAAAAGTCACCGATTTTGGAAGTTACGAACTGAGTTGTTGGGGGTATGGGGTCGATCCAGTAGACCCAGCAGAGAATTGTACAAGACGTGGCTTCGCAGGAGACGTTCAGGTTAGTGGTATTCATTTCATGATGAGATGCTTGCGCTTTGCCTGTTTTGTGTTTTTGGCTTGCGTGGCACGTGTTCTTCCTGCAGCTTTCTGGTTCGCCTGTGAGTTCGTGGGTGCAAGTGCAACCACCATGCTATGACTGGAAGAAACGTGGGAGAGTTCTCCACGAGGAATGGAAGTAGTCGACGAGGCCTTCTCTTGACATTGGGCAATGCTTCCAATCTCGAGTCTGGATACCTAAGAGCCTAAGGATCTACTCCTCCTTATTGAGTGCTCCAGGCGCGTAGCTTCGTGCAAGCCAAACTCCATGACCGGATCGGCACCATCCGTGCCAGAAACCGGAGGTACGGCTTTTGTTTAGTCAATGTGGCTGCAGGACACAAAGCTCTGGACCAAACAGGTTGAAGCAGCTGGAGGAAGGGGAGCAGCGACCTCCAGATCCTCCAGTCAAGGCACCTCAGTGCTGACACCAAGCATCTTTTATACGTTCACCTTGCAGGCGAAGCAGGACTTGAGAACAAAACAGCGGCGCTTGTCTAGCCCAGCGCGGCTACAGGCATCCTACTTGTGATGACTTGATGGTTTGTGGTGGCAGGGCAGCTACCCGCGAGAGTTCAACTTCCAAGTTCTTCCAGGCCGCATGCCCAACAGAGCTGGCAGGCAGCAGAGCTCGTGACATTGAATGCAATTAGCATGTCCTCGGCAGATCTGTTCCTCCTTGTCAAAGTTTCAAGCAGTTGCTGCCCAGCCCAGGCAGTAAAGACGGCCCAGGCCTAGCCCACGGACGGCGCAGACCTTCAGGACGACCAGTGCCCCAGCTGCCTTCTGCCTGCTACTTTTAAAGGTGTGGTGTCAAACCCTTAGCAGTGAGAGGAGGGTTCCGCAAGATTCTGGATCCTTCGGGTTTTGCAGTGTGGTGCCCTGATTCACATGATGCACGAGGAGAGCTCGAACCCATGTGAAAAAGGCAACGCTGCCAACTCATTGAGAAACAGTGCGGCTATCGGATAGCTCCAGCTTGTTTTTCTCGGCATACCATCCAGATGAAGCTGGCCGGCCTTTTCGGGCAGTCGCTCCTGGCGCCTATGGGCCTTTTATGCAGTCTTGATCGGAAATCTGACTTCATCGTGGGAAGCCGTTCCATAGAGTGAACGGGCCTATTACAGCAGCTTGCAGGGATTTCATGGCCCAGATTTAAGAAGCTGCCCCACCAGTTCTGTACACCGTAGATGCCCATCCCCCCATGCGTCACTGCCAAGGGCCACAGCTGTTTGAGAAGAAGCCAACTGCCTGACTTACTGATTCTTAGCAGGGAGCATGGAATACTTTATGTAGGGGTTATATAGTTATATGATTAAGGATGACATTCCCTGATTCCCTGCCAAGAACCAGCAAGCTGAGGTGCTTGCATTTTCCTTCAAGACGCAGCGGCCCCCGAAGCCGGCTCTGGAGCAAGATGGCTCCGTCAGCAGCACCTTCCGCTTGAGCCTGCCGCTGCCCAAAAACACTAAGCCGCAGCTGAATTTCAGGCCAGGGGAGGGGGATTGAAGATTTGGTCTTGGGCCACTCATTTTTTGGACATGTTCACGGAAAGAAGCACCCGCTGACGGTTCGCAGTGAAATCGCATGAGCACTTTATCAAGGCTGTAGAGCCTGCTTTGCTTGTTGTTTGTGGTGGCAAATGCGTCGCTGGCAAAGGCTTGAGAGCCGTGCTGCTTGGAGACCTTCATCGCGTGACTCCGAGTGGAGAATCACATCGAGAGTAGAAGGCAATTAATCATGTAAGAAAGAGAGCTGCAGACTGTTCGCTGCCTAGGTTGTCAGCACGCCAGACATCCAAAGACTCTTCAACCAACTGGAAGCAGCCACTTGAGGCCAAGTCTTGATTGAAGCGAAGTCTGCATCCCTTTGCTGTTGCATGTCAGGTGCTGGCCATGCACCGGAAGGATACCTGGGGCCAGACAGGTTTTGCAGGACTTCTGGGCAGTGAATCCCTGGAGCTTCTAGACAGAAATGAGAGACACACTGCTGATGGATCTGAAGCCTGTTCCCTATGCAACCAAGCTGAGTGGCCAAGTGATGTAGTCAAGCTTGATGATCTACCTGGCAGTCTTGAAGCAAACCGGGAAGATTCGAACCCTGCCGCTTAGCAGCAAGCCACATTATGCAGGATAACTTGCGCAAGTCCTACACTACACATGCTATACATGCTGTTCTGATGCTTTAAGTTCTGCGGTGACCGAGGATGACCCAGCTTATGCAGCCTCAAATTTGCCAGCAGAAGCGCCATGCCCAGAATCCCTGCTTGGCAAATCATGCAGCAGCGTCCGGATCATGTGGGATACTGCGGTGCAATCAATGCAGTTGCGCCATTAAAGCACCATCAGATCAAGACTTGTGACGTTGTGTGGCAAGGGCGATGATGGCAGCTTTGATCTGCTGGATGCCACGGAGGAATCAAGGCCGTTTATGCAGGGACCATATTCTCCAAAGGCATCAAGTGCTGATGAGGATCCGCTTGAGGCCGGGGTCGAGCGTTCTTCTTCCGTAGGGTTAGTCAAGATGCGAGGTCCAGGATCGGAAGATCTTTCGGCATGTTTGATTGTGGTCGAAGGAAGTTCGCCGTCTGTCCTCCACGCAGCATGCTAAATGGCGGTGTGGGCCTGAGCTTTGGCTCCAGTAGCGCATGCGCCAGCAAGTGGCAAGACCATGAACACCAGTCTACCCCAAGGTCCAGCTTCAATCGTTTCCGGAATGATGGTGAAATCCATTTTGACGACTTGTCGAGGGCACTGGCACATTGTGGACACTTGGTCGGCTTCCAGGTAGCGCGACAAGTCATAGGAGGTCTTGCAGATCTGGTCTCGCATGCGACGCCTGCGCAGAACATTGACGCAACATTATCAAAGCAGTCGATGGGGAGGTGTGTTCAGATTCGGAAAGATGCATGAAAGGCTATGCATTTCAAAGAGGTGTAATCAATTTTGAACAGCAAGGATTCCGAGATCGGCGACCTAGACTCATCGAAGACACATGTAAGCAGGTCACACAATTTGCCACGCTGGACAGCCGCTTGGTGTTTTCTGCTGAACTGTGGTTTATCCGCACGCAGCTGCAGCTTCCACAGCGCAAGTTTCAGTCTTCCCGACTGCTCAGGGGAGGAATTCACCAGCTTTGTGCGTCTGTACGAGTCCGAACTCTTGAATCTCTACCGCGCGGAATTTGCCAAGTATGAGGACTCAGGCGGCTGGGTAAGGTTTGATCGCTTTGATCCGATCCTGCTGTTGAGCGCTTGAGAGGCATGATCAGGCAGTAGGAAAGAAAGCCATCTTGCCGGTAAGCAGACAAGCCTTCGTTGGTCCGCCAAGGCAATATTGCGGTAGAAAGCTTGGAGCCGCTGCTGAAGCAGCTCGGACTGGAGCCACGCACCTTGGCTCCAAAACTGCATGGCAAAGTCCTTTGATAATTCTCTGGCAGGTCCCACGTTCCCCAATTCAACCCGGCCAGAGCTGCCTTTGTCGCAGGATATGCTGAGTTCTTTGAGACTGAAGTCTAGCGGCATTGGTGTCAGAGTCTCGCGTTCAAGGTCATGCAGTGCTGGAAGAGCTCCTGCTTGAAATCTGTGGCTGCAGGCCCCATCATGAGTTGCCAAGGCTGCGTAGTTCAAATGTGTTTTTGTGCAAGCCCGAGTTTTGTAGGCCGCAGCGCTTGAGCTTCCAAGACGTTGGAGCGATGATGGAACTGCTTCGAGAGCGTGAAGGCTTCGGCGCATAATGCATGTGCACAGACCATGCAAGGTTTAGCCACGACGCTGCTCTAGTAACTATGTTGTATGTTGTGGTGCTTCATGCTGATTTGTCTTGCAATATGGGCTTGTACCGTTTCTTGAGCACCCTGCCATGAAAAGACCAACCAACCGCAATGACAGTCCTTCAGGTCTATGCCATTCTCTGCCTTAATCATGGTAGATTCCCATGCCACCTACTTGCCGCCTGAGGTTTTCTGCTCACAGAGCTGGAGAGGTTTCGAAAAGTGTTCCAAGACTTTGACAGCGATGAGTCTGGAGATATGTCCACTGGTGAGCTCGTCAGCGCGCAACTAGGAATTAATTGGGCTTTTGTTCACCCGGGCTGAGTAGTCTTCTAATCCAAGCGCGATTCCGGTCGCAAGTTATGTTTGGATTTGTTTCTCCGTGCTGCTGGCGTTAACATGTCATGGTTTCAATCGTCCAGAGCTCGTCCTTGTCCAGTGGTATGGCACAATCCAGTCCGAGGATGGGTTGGTTGGGCTTTCCGACCGGTAAAGAATTTCTGCTCAGCCTATACCAGCAGAGCGACATCAACGGCAGCTCAGCGGTGTCAACCCTTAGCTCTGGTGCTGTACGGACGAGTTGGCCAGCTGGGCATGTAGTTGAGGGGTCCGGGCACAAGCGACAAGGCAAAGCATTGGGATGGCGGTGTTTGCATTGTTGCCTGCTTCAGGTAATGGGGTGTTGAGTTTCTCCGAGTTCGTGATGTGCTTGCGCCACATCCAGGCGAGACTAATGTGAGAACGCTTCAAGCTCCCGCATGCAAAAATGAGGGCCTTGATTGTTCAGGATCGGGAACTTGTTTCCATCCGTCACTTCCTTGCCCTCATGACGAAGGACGGCAAAGTCTCGACGCTGTCTGAGTTGGAGGCTTGCTTGTTTACCGCTCTCTGAGCCCTCTCGAATTTGCGGTTTGAAAGGCGTTCCGTCGTAGCCAAAACACACCAAGCCTGACTGGTGCTTGAGGCCATGCTGCATGGCTTGGGATACTTCACATCTGCAGCTGCAATCACTGAGCCTGGGCGAAGTTAACTGATTTCCAGCTTAGATTGGCTGCCTGCCTCTTCAGGAAGAGCTTGATGAACTCCCTGCTTGTCGTTTTGTTCTGAAGGATGCCCTGCAAGAAGCGGGCCTCTGCAGCAAAGCGGACGTTGCCATTCTCCGCCTTTCGGAGGAGCGCAGACATTTTTTGACTTGAAAACAGCAAGCATTTGATCTCTACAAAATCCCGACTGAGTCACATGAACTCCCGCAAGGACTGGCGAGGCATGCAGCTGGATGTGGATGAAGTCTGCACACTTCTGCAGAGCCTGCGGAGTAGAGCAGGCACCTTGAAAACGGCTTGACAATCTGTGCAGGGGAACGCACAGCTCTGACGGTTATCTCTTGAGGTTTCACGGATGCGCAAATGGACGAGCTTCGGAAAGGCTTTTGGCTAAGCGTGATGAAAGATGAAGACAAGAGCCCCGGCTTTATGTCAGTTGAAAAGCACATAACACTACTGTTTTGGCTGCTGCTTACTACCGCCGCTGCCACCCACCGCCGCCACTACCACCTCCAGCACGGCCGCCACCGCCACCGCCACCGCCAGCGCCACCGCCAGCGCCACCGCCAGCACCACCGCCAGC